AAGGAGGCCCCTTGGGGTGAAGCTGTCACAACTACAGTCGCAGGATGTCACATCAGGCACAGGCTGCCATAAATACACATGGAGGGGGAGAAGCCAACCTATTAGACAAGGGATGGACCCCACCATAAACCACAGTAAAGGCTGGATTTCATTCTGTATTACTGACTGGGGGTCACTTTGAAGGGATGCTGGAAGCAAGGAGAGGAAATTAAGCCTCCCTGCATCCGGAAAGCACCAGGCTGAGGATGGACCCCACCATAAACCACAGTAAAGGCTGGATTTCATTCTGTATTACTGACTGGGGGTCACTTTGAAGGGATGCTGGAAGCAAGGAGAGGAAACAAAGCCTCCCTGCATCCAGAAAGCACCAGGCTGATGTATAGATGATGTCCTGGGTGGACAGGATGGACTGCTGCAACTGGGAGAGCATTTCACGGCTGGTGCTGTGAGAGGAAGTAACTATATGGTGACACCTTTGCTGTGACTTCTCCCTTTACATACTTTCACTTCAGAAGTGCAATGATAAAGAGATAATAAAATAGCATAAATAGATAAAGACCAGAATTATGATTGATACGGATTATATCATGCTGCTTTCGTGATAATATCTTCTCTCTCGTGCAACCAAACCAGCAAGTGGTGGCAATTGTACTCATTAGGCTCTGATTCAAACAGAAGCTCTCCGTGTAGGCGTAACTTCATGCAACTGCAGCCAGTATCAGGGCTCTTGCTTACATAAGAAGCCTTGTGTAACAAAAACCAATTTCAAATCAATGCCTGTGCTCTTTTTGTTAAAACTGATTTAGTTAAACAGATGAAGATTCCTTCTATGGCCGTTCTGGGTGCAATTGAAATTTGCTTTTAAGTAACTTCAGCTAATAAATTTGGCTTGCCTCAAACTGCAGTGTCAATTGACACAAATCACACTTTTTTTTTTTTCTGCAGAGGCCCTCGCTAACACACATTCACACAGCACGGATGCATTAAAACAGGTTTCTCTAGCTTTAAACTTGTCTAATCAGACTTTGCAAGATGAGTTTGACTAAGGGTTTTAATTCTTCCCATTCTGTTTGAAACACCCTAGTAAATATTTTCTAAATGTACTTGTTTTTTCACTTTCTTTTCCTCTGGCAAATGGCTTTTTTTTTTTTTTTTCCTTCTTCCCCTTGCATCTTTCATGGAGCTAGAATTACATGTCTGCCTTTTTCTCTGCAATAACGTGCAGACGGTGCCGCACGCTGCTAGAACAAACATCTCTGCCCATGTCCCTGGGTCACTGCCTGATGACGGTGACGCTCCGGGGAGTCCTGCGAGTGTGTAAACTCCTGGGGCACAACCAGCCAAGGGGCTGCGAGGCATCGGGGAGGTGACACCCCCTCAGATCTGGGCACGTACACGCTCTCGTGTAGCCTACCCCTCAATCGCAGGTCTCTCTTTCCTGCCAAGCAGCACGGAGGTCCCTCGGTGGCCTGGGGCTTGGATGTCTACAGAGGGATGGTGGTTGCTGTCTGTTCCCCGAGGTGATGGGAGCTGCACGGGCTCCTCCTGAGAAGACTCCATCAGTCAGAGCACGGCACCTCCTGGCTCACCCCACCGACACGCAGCCCGCTCTGCAGTGGGTAACCCTGACCTCACAACCAGCCTGATTAATAAGGTTAAGTTAATAGCAACACCAACTACAATAGCAACGTCAGTTAAGGAAATAACCGCTTATTTCCCTCCCTTGTGGGAATTACCACAGAGGCATTTGGGGTTTTCTGCGACCCACGGAGTGCTACAGCCAGGTCCAAGCTCTGCAAATCTGTTCCTGCTCTTCCCCTTGTCCTCCTGATAGTTCCTCGAGTGCACTCACACCCGGAATGAGTAATGATGTCCCTACCCTGTCCCTTAGGACCAAGAGACTCATCCCTGAGCGAGAAAGGAAGAAAGGTAGGGGGGGAAACCTTGGGAGCTGGCAGTGTGCCCAAAGAAGGACTTCCATTTTGCAAGAATGAGCCAAATTCACGCATCTACCCCTGTTGCTTAACAGATCTGCACGGATAAGGGCAGAAATGGGTTCTTCTTTGCATCCCTCCAGACCTCGGGCTTCCATGACCGAGCGGAACAAGTCAGAAAACACGTTCCTAGATTTCCCAGACTCCTGCTAGTTAAAGAGAGGGCTCTGCACGGCAGGGAGATGAAAGCAGCATCTATTGGGGTTACAGTCAAATGTGCTAGAACAGGTCTTTCAAGGTAATTATATTTGTTTACTGGAATTGAATACACATGTCTCTACAAGATGCCTTACAGAAATAGGGCTTATCTACCCATCTAAAGATTTACACGTATTTAAGTAACAAAAATTGTATTTTTGAAGTTTTTCTTTGTAGCAACCGGTCCCTATAAAATAGGAAGCAATGATGGATTGACTGTATATCGAGTATTGATTTAGAGTGTTTTGACATGTAATTGGATTCGATTGCCAAAGTAGGCTAGTTTGGTAGCCTTATTATGGGATGCTTAATACAGTGTTTATGCCTCTGCAATATTTTTGGGGGAGTTGTTTTTTTTTTTTTCTCTCTGTGTATAACAAACAGAAAACAACTTGATTATCTGGAAGGCTCGCTGTTGAGGGGAATAAGCCAATTGTAAAACATGGCCCAGCCCTGCACTGGGAAGTGCAAAGGGGCTCTGTGCAGCACTGGCTGCCAGCAGGAAAGGGAGGGCGATTCCAAGGGACTGCCATGGGATATCTGGGTTAAATTTTTGCCTCTTCCACAGCTGTTTCCTATGGGAAGGAACTTTACCTATTGCTGTTTCAGTCACTGTTCAGAAAGTGGTTTATGTGCTACCTTCTCTCGCCTCGGTTTTATCTGTATTTTTGTATATAGTTTAGCTTGTATGATATTTTACTTTTTTTATAGTTGTAAGACTTTAGGAACACCTTAGCAGCATCTCTGCCATGCACTATCGAAGAAGTCCTATCCCTAAGGATTCTCTTCTATTACAAACAAATAATTGTAACGGAAGAACTAATTAAAAAATTGGGAGGGAGAAAAGTATAAAAGGCTAAAATCTGTACCTTTTGAGAAAGTCTGAAGAATTCTATTTTGTTCTTTCTTTTTTTTTTTTGCCATGAGCCTGCAAATATCAGTATTTTCTCCCTGTTTGACGTGTTCGCAGTTCACTTATTTCCCTGCTGCATATATTTCAGACGTCCTGAAATATACAGGTTTATTTCTCTAGTCTAATCTCTTGTTCTCCCTGTAACAGGCAGACTGTGTCTGGCCATTTGGGAAATAGTTCATAATTCCATGCTTAAATAAGTGGCTTTTGATAAAGGTCCAACCCAGTGCTCTGAGGGTTGTTTTGTTTTTACGGATGGAGCAGACAGAGCAGAATGATGTTGCCTGCATACTAAGAAACTTGGCCCCAAGCCCACACACACCAAAGGCAAAATAAATAAATAAACATATCAATCAATCTTGACGTCACCAGGAAAAGGGTCACTGCCATGTGGAAGGAGACATCTGGACAGTGAAGTCACTGCTCTGGAAGGATGCCACTGAACAGTTCACATGCTCTGCAGCACAATACGATAAAATGACAGTCAAAAAAAAAAAAAAAAAAAAAAAAAAGAAAGAAAAAGGCGGGGTGGATAAATTGTAATTGATGCTGAGTGAGCAGAGAGCCTCGTACCTTCTGCAGACCTGTCCATGCACCTAACTTTTTCCTGATGGAAAAGTCCCATGACTCCAATGCCAGCCAGGCACACAAATCAGACCGGCCTGTCATCTCACATGACACTGTCCATTGCACTTTCGGAACCAGCTTTGGAACAAGAAAGAGCAGGATCTAACCACGCAAATAAAATAAAAACGTGTGGAGGAGGACCCTTTCCACAGCCCTATGTATTCCCATATGCAGGGATAAAGAGCATGCACTTGGCCAAATATTTGTGTTACCTACAGGCGTACACAACCACACACACACATACACAAAATGACAACTGCTCAGAGTAGCCACAGCAACAGACCTTTCATACGACTCTTGCATTCCAAGAAATTATTTTTAAATGCACTTCAAGTAAAATGCGAACTGTTCTATTTAATAAACAAAAAGGTTTTGAGCAGGAGCAACGAGAAACATCTGCAGGGCTGGAAGAGACCCCCTGACAACTCTTTCCGTTGCACACACACGACCAACCAACTTGCTTCTGCAGGCTATTGTCTGTCTTTCCCTCTTGTCCCCATCCAGGCACAGTATTGCAAGCAGCAGGGGGTTGTTAGCCATGGAAGCTCTGATCTTCCCTTTATAGCATCAGGAGATCCTAGCCCAGCCGGACACCTCACCAGGATGCTGCTGGCACAATGGAGCATCTGTACCCAAAATGTGGAGGCTCCTCTCCGGCCCTGGGCATTTTCTGAAACGGCCTGATTTAAACACAGCACGGCCAAGCCGGAGTCTTTGTTGTCATAGCCCGGATTCCTTCAAGACCGCTAAAAAAATCCACCCTCCCAGAGATGGGAATGTGACTGCATGGAAAATGACTGTATTTCTCAGCTCTGGCTCTTCGGGCGGGTTAAATCAGCCCCCGGTCCAGCGGATCCCCGGAGGGTGATGCCAGTTCACCCCGTTCCCAATGGGACCCGGCTCTGTCTGTGTCTGCCGCGGGTGCTACAATTAGCAATTTTTACATCCGCAAACCCAACGGGGGCAACGAGGCGAGGAGGGGCAGGTTGCCCAGGAGGGGCAGGTTGCCCAAGCCGGGCAACGCCTGCAAGGCCGGCGGCTTGTCCAGCCCCGGGCGGGGCTCGCTGGGCCGCCAACCCCGGCTCCGGGGGTCTCCCGGGCCGGTTCCCCGCTTCCCGGTGGAAGAGCCCCCCCCCTCTCTCCCCGTCCCCCGGCTTACCGCGGCCCCCCGCCGCCTAAAGCGATTAGCGGCGCTCGGCGGGGGGCCCCCCAGCTCTTCCCCGTTGCTCCTCCGCAGGGGTTGGTTAACCCCGGACCGCTGGGCTTACCGGAACCGGGGCGAGTCTTTGATGCACTCCTCGAACTCCACCGTCATCCTGCCGGTTCGGCCCCGCCGGAGCCTTCAGCGGAGGAAGCGCATCGCCCGCCGGCAGCCAAGGACGAGCGAGCGACCGAGGGAGCGACCGAGCGAGCGACCGCCCCC